CAAAGAGTCAGGATTTGAGACTATATATAGTCTATTGGGATCACGAGCGCTTTTGTTGCAAGCGGTCGCGTTAGGGGAGCTCAAATTGTTGTCAAATTCACCATAGCAACGGGGTAGAGGAGCAGAGTGGGTGCGGGAGTGGGGGGAAAGCGCTTGGAGCGGGCAGTGGCAGAGTTTAGCGTTTACGGATCAATTCACAGAGTATGAGGTTGATAAATTCTGGTCCATATACGCGGATCTCACAAACAGGGTACCATTATGTAGGGTGACTACTTATATTAGCTGATTATAATTACTTATTAGTATGAATTTGGTAGTGTGGAGCGGCTAGTCTCCGGAGCGGAAGCTCGCCGTTCCACCAACAGGTCTATGTTATTTATTTTGGGCACCAGCAGAGTTAGAAATCTGCACATAGACACCAACCAAATCTTTGCCTCGATATCAATCTATAATCTAAGGGTGTAGAATACGTTTTATCCGCCAGTGATAGTCCGAGATCTTAACAACACGACTCTGATAGGATTGAGTTAAAGAAAAGGGATTTATTGATTACAAAGTGGGATGAAGCATAACGAAAAAGGATTTCTGGTCACATTTGAGTAGGAGCTGTACACATTTCATTCAAATTGAACACTGAACAAGGAACAGTCTTACTTTGGAGGAGCGTAGAGGATGGAGAAGGTCTTTGGGTTGGGAAACAGCCCACGTGGTTTCTTTGTCCGGGCAGGCGGGAGTTATGAAGCCTGCTAGTTTGGTCCAGCTGCTGGTGCACGCGAGCCAAGGAAAGAGGCTGGTGATGAACAGTTCGTAGATTCGTAGAAAGGAGGCTTGCGTGGAAGCGGGAGGCCTCGGGGCGGACGGCACAGTCGTTGCTGGAGGCGCGTACTTGCGTGGCCGCAGGGCTGAGAGGGAGGTTGCGAGCGCAGGCCGTGTAGGGAACACGTACCCACGGGTGGTTGTTATAGTGGATTCGGGGAAAACAAGAGAAAGAACAATGGCGTGTGGGTGCTCATATAGGCTTCCCAGGGGGGCGTGTCCATGCCGCCCCTGCCCTCTGTGGACAGACCCCTTTTACAACAGACAGTTTGTAAAGGAAACACACAGGATTGATGCTAATAATCATAAGACATGTACAAACACACACCGTATTTCATTACTTTGACATTGATACACACATATGGGGCACAATGCAGATTATTGGAGTACTGGACCCAGGGGTACCGGTTCGCAATTGTCCGTCCCGGGTGTGATAGTGTCCATTGTTCACAAGGGGGCGTCAGAGCGCCGCGGGAGAGTCTTTGATTGTCCGGTGGCAGGAGTCTGTGAGCGAGGGCAGGGTTGTGATCTTTGATCTCTACAGGCAGGCAGAGACAGAGGTGCTTATCCCCGTGGTGACTTTATTACTCTTTTTGGCATCTGTAATCCTCATGATTGATGGCGGCTTGTGGCTGACCCCATGGCTCCTTTGAAGCTGTATCTCTCCATTTGGTCAATGGTAAACAGAGTGGACAGGCTTGGTCCTGCCCTCAGTTTAACCTTACACATGCGTTAGCTGCACCAGCCCCATTCGTTTTAGGAGTGCATTCAAAATTCCACAGCGGCGAAACTAGACTGGTCCAAAACACTCCCCTCAGCATTGGCCGCACCTGGAACGTAGCTTTGGACCAGGAGCGACTTTTGGACCATCCTGTCGCCATACAAAAGCATTGTGTAATTCTTTTTCTGGGTACACCCCCACCACCCCGTAGTGGTATTGAGAAATGCAGGTGTCCATCAGCAGCAAAAACACATCCACAAAAAAAAATAATTAATGGATCATTCTAAAAAGCTAACAATAATAATGATAAAATGCAAAAGCAGCAGAGATGGAGCCGCTTGGTCCGGACCATATTTTCAGTTCTGGTCCAAAGTAAAATGCTGAACGCTTTATTAGCATTTTTAAAACAGTTAGCATTCCTCCAGCGGATTTTCACCTGATCCACTTGTTTTGGACCATGCTCTGGTCTGCTCTGGTCTGGACCAGTGTAAAACCATGAATCCTCTCTGCTCTGGTCTGGACCAGTGTAAAACCATGAATCCTCTCTGCTCTGGTCTGGACCAGTGTAAAACCATGAATCCTCTCTGCTCTGGTCTGGACCAGTGTAAAACCATGAATCCTCTCTGCTCTGGTCTGGACCAGTGTAAAACCATGAATCCTCTCTGCTCTGGTCTGGACCAGTGTAAAACCATGAATCCCCTCTGCTCTGGTCTGGACCAGTGTAAAACCATGAATCACCTCTGCTCTGGTCTGGACCAGTGTAAAACCATGAATCCTCTCTGCTCTGGTCTGGAAAGCAAGAAAAATAACAAATATAAAACTCCAAAACAACTGTTTCAGAGATACTTTCGTTTCCAGCACATTCAAAAGTAAACAATATGAACTGTGCTACACAAATAAACTGGCCTTGCCACATTCTGCCTGTTTGCGCAGTCATTCCTCATTGCTTACCGAACTCCTGGAGCCGATTATCCTCTGGAGATTGTTGCGTGGAATGTGTTTTTACAGATTATGTAAATAAGTGCTAACAGCTCATAACATTAGCACCGGCTGTTTATCACTTCACACGACTGTAGTGAGCGTCAAGTGCTGCTTTAATGATGAACGCATGAAAAGAATCATGGAAACTACTGACGCCAGATCCTCTTCACAAAGGTCTAAAAGGTTTTTGTTTTGGGTTGATTCATTTCCCACCGCAGCAGAATCAGAGGCTTCACGATGGTTTTGTCAGAATTAATGTATGAATCAGAGCTGTTTTGTTGATGTGTTTCTAACAGAGAGGCCACAGTAGCTCAGTTGGTAGAGCATTGGCCTTTGAGCCAGAGGGTCGTGGGTTCAAGCCCGACTTTCACCACTGTCTGCTGTCGTTGTGTCCTTGGGCAAAACTTCTGGGAACACCAGGTGCCACAGTGGGGCGGCTGTGGCTGTAACGTGCCAAACTGCCATTGTGTCCTTAGGCAAGACACTTTACCCACATTACCTAGAATGAGTCTGGTGTGTGTGTGAATGGTTGGTGGTGGTGGGAGGGGCCGATGGCACAGACTGGGTGCCTTGCTTCTGTCAGTGTGCCCCAGGGCAGCTGTGGCTACAGTAGTTTATCACCACCGTGTTTGGAGTGAAAGAATAATGATGTGAAGTGTCTTTGAGTGTCCAGAAAAGCACTGTATTAAACTGATGCATTATTATTATTATTAGAACTTGGGCACACATGGTCTTACACGTTTTCAATATAAGCAGCAGCAGTAAAAGAGGCCTGACGTCTGCCTCTGGTCTCTCTCCTGTCTCTTTTGGGTCTCTCTCTGGTCTCTCTCTCTGGTCTCTCCCTGGTCTCTCTCTGGTCTCCCTCTTGTCTCTCTTGGGTCTCTCTCTGGTCTCCCTCTTGTCTCTCTCTGGTCTCTCTCTGGTCTCTCTCTTGTCTCTCTCTGGTCTCTCTCTAGTCTCCCTCTGGTCTCCCTCTGGCCTCTCTCTGGTCTCTCTCTGGTCTCCCTCTTGTCTCTCTCTGGTCTCTCTCTGGTCTCCCTCTTGTCTCTCTCTAGTCTCCCTCTGGTCTCCCTCTGGCCTCTCTCTGGTCTCTCTCTGGTCTCCCTCTTGTCTCTCTCTTGTCTCTCTCTGGTCTCCCTCTGGCCTCTCTCTGGTCTCTCTCTGGTCTCCCTCTTGTCTCTCTCTTGTCTCTCTCTGGTCTCCCTCTTGTCTCTCTCTGGTCTCTCTCTGGTCTCCCTCTTGTCTCTCTCTGGTCTCTCTCTGGTCTCTCTCTGGTCTCCCTCTGGCCTCTCTCTGGTCTCTCTCTGGTCTCCCTCTTGTCTCTCTCTGGTCTCTCTCTGGTCTCCCTCTGGTCTCTCTCTGGCCTCTCTCTGGTCTCCCTCTGGTCTCTCTCTGACCTCTCTCTGGTCTCCCTCTGGTCTCTCTCTGGTCTCTCTCTTGTCTCTCTCTGGTCTCTCTCTGGTCTCTCTCTTGTCTCTCTCTAGTCTCCCTCTGGTCTCCCTCTGGTCTCTCTCTGGTCTCTCTCTGGTCTCCCTCTGGTCTCTCTCTGGTCTCTCTCTGGTCTCCCTCTTGTCTCTCTCTGGTCTCTCTCTGGTCTCTCTCTTGTCTCTCTCTGGTCTCTCTCTGGTCTCTCTCTGGTCTCCCTCTGGCCTCTCTCTGGTCTCTCTCTGGCCTCTCTCTGGTCTCCCTCTTGTCTCTCTCTGGTCTCTCTCTGGTCTCTCTCTGGTCTCTCTCTGGTCTCCCTCTGGCCTCTCTCTGGTCTCTCTCTGGCCTCTCTCTGGTCTCCCTCTGGTCTCTCTCTTGTCTCTCTCTGGTCTCTCTCTGGTCTCCCTCTGGTCTCTCTCTGGTCTCCCTCTGGCCTCTCTCTGGTCTCTCTCTGGTCTCTCTCAGGTCTTCCTCTGGTCTCCCTCTGGTCTCCCTCTGGTCTCTCTCTGGTCTCCCTCTGGTCTCCCTCTGGTCTCTCTCTGGTCTCCCTCTGGTCTACAGTCCCTCTGGACTCTCTCTGGTCTCTCTCTGGTCTCTCTCAGGTCTTCCTCTGGTCTGGGGACAGTGATGATCCAGGGGATTTAAAGGTATCTAATAACATTTATCAACATTGCTAAACAGTGTTCATCCTGCTTCCTCTGGACCAATGGCTCATGTGTGTTTGTTATTATTTGTTGTGTTTGATTTTCTGATCTGTCGTTGGTGAAGCCGCAACTTTTTACAGTCCTTTGAGACGACTGCTGCTGCCGTGATTCAGGACAAAACACAAACATGTTGCATGTATATCCTGTAGTTCCTGTTGCTGCCAGCAGGGGGTGCACTGAGGCCTTTAAACAAACCCAAGAATAGTTTGTGTATTTCCCAACATTAGACGTGAGCGCAGTTTAATAGCAGGTACATCAAATCCAATTAACGTGTCCCTTCAGGGCCTCCATACATCAAACAGCTGCATTCTCTATAAATACGTCTGTAAAAGTAGAAACAAAGGAAGTGTGTGATGCGTACGTGCACAACGGGGACACGGCGAGCTGTCACCGAGAAGTGGCACAATTAGCACAGCTGCTGATGATGTGAGCCGTGGCAGAGAAGAAGAGGAGAGGAGAGCAGGAGGGAGCAGAGAAGAAGAGAGCAGAGCAGGAGAGAGCAGAGAAGAAGAGAGTGGAGCAGAAGAGAGCAGAGAAGAAGAGAGTGGCGCAGAAGAGAGGAGAGCGGAGAAGAGAAGAGCCGAGCAGAGGAGAGAACAGAGCAGAGAAGGAGAGAAGAGAGCAGAGCAGAGAAGGAGAAAAGAGAGCAGAGCAGAGAAGGAGAACGCAGAGAAGGAGAGAAGAGAGCAGAGAAGAGCAGAGCAGAGAAGGAGAGAGCAGAGCAGAAAGCGTCTTCTCCAGCGACTCCCACTGATGTCTGCTGTCGTTGTGTCCTTGGGCAAGACACTTAACCCACTTTGCCTGAAGGAGCGCGGAAGTGATGTTCGCTGCTTGCCTTAATGTGTACATGTGTATGTATCAAACTGAAATTTCCCCATTGTGGGATGAATAAAGGACCTTCTCTTAAAAAAAGTCCTGGGTCTACAGCCTCAGTCCTTGATCTACAGCCTCAGTCCTTGATCTACAGCCTCAGTCCTGGATCTACAGCCTCAGTCCTTGATCTACAGCCTCAGTCCTTGATCTACAGCCTCAGTCCTGGATCTACAGCCTCAGTCCTGGATCTACAGCCTCAGTCCTTGATCTACAGCCTCAGTCCTTGATCTACAGCCTCAGTCCTGGATCTACAGCCTCAGTCCTGGATCTACAGCCTCAGTCCTGGGTCTACAGCCTCAGTCCTGGGTCTACAGCCTCAGTCCTGGGTCTACAGCCTCAGTCCTGGATCTACAGCCTCAGTCCTGGGTCTACAGCCTCAGTCCTGGATCTACAGCCTCAGTCCTGGATCTACAGCCTCAGTCCTGGATCTACAGCCTCAGTCCTGGATCTACAGCCTCAGTCCTGGGTCTACAGCCTCAATCCTGGATCTACAGCCTCAGTCCTGGGTCTACAGCCTCAGTCCTGGATCTACAGCCTCAGTCCTGGATCTACAGCCTCAGTCCTGGATCGACAACCACTTATTCTCACTCTTTTTTCACTGTGTTTGTAAATAGTTCCTTCCGGAGGTCTGGGGACGGTGGTGATGATCCACATTTATGGACATCGGTCTGTGCTCCATATGGACCAATGGCTCAATGTATTTTTTTATCATTGCATTCAGTGTGTTTGAACTGTTTGATTCTCTGATCTGTTTTTGCCCGCAGCTTTGGTTTAGGGTAATTAAATGTCCTGCTTTATATTTACAGAGTTTCAGCCAATTATGTGACGCAACAACCAGATGCTGGTTAGAAAAACAATAGTAACAAATGCAGGAGCCATTGGTCCATCGGGAGCAGGACGACCACTGTCCACAAATGTTAATAATTATCATCCCTGAACCAGAAAGCCAAGAAATAGCTGTAATTGCCTCATCCCTCGAGCTTCACTATTTCATCTCACACGAGGAAGAAGAACAAAAAAATCTATTTTGTTGCGTTATTGATTGGGAACTGTCTTCACAGAGCGACAAGACAAGAAATGCCAAACCGAACAAGCGCGACACATTCTCCGGTCTGTCCCCCGCCCTCCGCCTCTTCCTCTGCTAAATGAGGCCTGCGATGGAGTCCGTGCCAAACCTCTCCACTTCCTGCTGCTCGGCCAATCAGCTGCTCCCAGAAAAGCCCTCATTTGCATTTGGCCTTAATTGCTGCTCTCTGCTCTTTCCGCGCTGGTCTTTTTGTGCGATCGCTCTGCATTCGGCCTGCGCTCCTCGCTCCAATCAGGGCCGCCTTCATCAGGGCTTTTGTTGGCGCTGGCAGGAGGAGAGGGGGGAGACAGGGGGAGAGGGGTGTGGGTTGGCATGCTCGGCTGTCGGAACAAGCTTGTCAGGCTGAATGATGCAGCCATAATCAGCACATTGGAGGCAGTGCAGCAGAATGACAATAGGCGCTGATGCCTGGGCGTCTGCTCCTCTGGCTCCTCTTTCATCCGTCAGTGTTTTGCTGCTGTTTAAACTGTGACGCTCTCCGAGGTGAAGCCGACTACTGTACTGTCAGAGCTGGGAGTAAATGTGAGCAAAACACAACAAAAACAACGGATTGGGGATTTTATTGCTGTTGCAAGAAGAGCTTCTGGAAATCATTGACTCAACTGGCCCCTGAAAAAAAAAGCCATGTTCCAGCTTCTTCCCTCTGGCAGAAGATCTCGTTGGCTAAGACGCAGGACATCTGGATGCTATCATGCTAACATCTTCTTGTTATCAGCTGTTATCAGTCTGATCTTTAATAAACTTTAAGGATCTTTTGCGCTGAAACCGTTTTTGTTGTTTTTACTGCAACAATTGTTTCTTTGCACTTGTCTGGTGCACACCGGGGACTCTTGCACATGTATTCCAATGTTGTTTTACTGCTAATGCCCAAGAAATGTGAGAAAAAGTATTTCCGGCCAAGACTTTTATTCAGCGGCTTTTATTGTGTGTTTCTTTTGCATGTTCTTATTTCCTGTTTTTTTGCGTGTGCTGTGATAATGACGATGATGAAGCTTGTTGTTTTGTGGAGACGATCTGACAAGTTCTGAGCCTTTTCATTTAATCTGTTTCATTTAATCTGCCTCATTTCCACTGAGACTAACAGATATGAATCCTTTGAAAGGGAAAAGTTGAAAACAAACTCCAGATTTCATGACTGTAAAGTATAAGCAGAGCCATCATTGAAGGTCTTTGAAAACAACACTTTTCCAATTGGCCGCCACCAACCAGTGCTAACATACTATATAAAATGGGACTTTATTTCTATCCTAAATTTCTGTTTACACTAAATATATTTCACGGTGACTGTTGACAGTATTCCCTGATCTGAAAACACTCTCAAACTACAGCTTTTTAAAATCTTTGTACGAGAATTGATTTTTTCCAATATGGCCGCTACGTTGATGATGTCACATTATGCGAATTAGATGACAAAACAACTTCCATCCCAAAGTTTGGTTCATACTGAAGATATTTCTCGATTACAGTCTGCATTAAAGTGCACTTTAAAGTTATAGCCTTTTGAAATCTGTCAAAATTGTATATTTTCTTGAAACGATCCAATGCTTGAACCATAGACTGTGCACAGATGGACGATGCTAACGCGCTAGCTCAGTGAAGCTAAAGAGGGAAGTGCTCACAATTTGCTCCCACTCTCTCTGGCTCAGTAACTGTTTGTTTCATTGTCACCATTTTGGGCTTAAATCTGTGGTTTATCGCTCTCTGTGATCCTGGAGTTTATATTGTTTTATTGTCTTTATAAAACCAGATATGAGAGATTTAGGGATCGACCAATCAGATGCCATTTGCGGGGGAAACTTCAGCTTGCCTTAGCAACCGTCTTAGCAACACATTTGCCCCATCGCCGTCAGAACAAATGCCCATATAGGTTCAAAGTCAGCCTCTTCCGCATTAAGACACTATGGTGATGTCACACTCGGTCGGTCCACTCCTGATATGCGCCTTGTTACTGGTCTGTGGTGCAGCTCCCCCAGGTGTGCCCCAGGTGATCCCCAGGTGTGCCCCAGGTGTGCCCCAGGTGTGCCCCAGGTGAGCCCCAGGTGTGCCCCAGGTGATCCCCAGGTGTGGGGAGGGGGCAGGATAATAAAACAGAAGTCAAAATGGGCTCTAATGAAGACGCATTTTGCAATTTCAAGCAATTTATGACTATTTTTTCATCACTTTTTGCAGTGTGTTTCATGTCTGAGGCTCGAGTATCTTCCTCCACTGCTTCAATTGAATTCATTTCATTCCACAGAAGGGCTCCGACTGCACTTTTTGACTCTTTAGGACCCAGCAGGAGTCTGGCAGTGAGAGAGTTTGGTTGTGATGATACTAACGTGTTGTGGAAGTAGCTTTATGATACATTCATGGCCTTGTGTGTTAAAAGAAGGATTTTAAATGTGTTTTTCGCACACACACACACACATACCTACACACATACACAAACACACAAACACTCTGCTTACACGTGCACACACACACTCTGCTTACACACGCACACACACACTCTGCTTACAAACACACACAAACATACAAACACACGCACACTCTGCTGACACACGAACACACACATATACAAACACCCACACTCTGCTTAGACACACACACACACACACACACACACACACATACACGGACACACACACACAGATCGGCCCGTTCAGGAAGTGTGTGACAGAGGGCCACACTGCAGGTAACAGGGAGCAGGGTCGAGTCATCCATCACCGTGACAACCCCTCCTGTCACTCCCCCATCACCCCCCACCAGCTCAGGGACAAGGGGCGGGACATCCTGCAGCAGCGTGGGGCTCAAGCCAGAAAGTCACACACACATAGATACACACAAGTACCACACAGACAAACACACCAGCATGCACACAGATACACACGCATACAAGCGCCCACACAAACACACACAAGCACTCACACACACGCGCACTTACACACACATGCTGCATATACACACACCCACACAAGCACACACACAGACACCCGCTCACATGTGCAACTTAGACAAACACACGCATGCCGCATACACACACACACGCACACACACACACTCAGGTTTTCAGTCTTCTCGGGGACATTAACGTACAATACTTCCCCGCTCTTAAAGGGACACACACTGGAGCTTCCTCTTGATCTCTTTAGAAGAGAACGTCCTGCAGCCGAGGCTCCTGTGCAAAGACACACTTTGACCCCTGACATATTGTACCACATTTTCAAAAATACTTGTTCCTATCTGTCATGTGTTTCTTCGTCACACCATTAGTGGACATGAAGACCCGAGAGAGGTCCAAACTCTTCGCTGCGTCCCGTCAATAACGAAGGCTTAAGTCGAGTTTCTGCCTCAGACCTTTTCCTCAGTTTTAGTTTAGTTTATTTCAAAGGGGACAAAGCAATTTAATTAAACACACGATTAATGAGTTTAAAAAGCCAGAATTAGCCAAGGATGCTATTTTTCATCCATAGTCCCTTGGCTGTGATGTTAAAAATACATTAAAATCCATTATAGATACATGAACATAACAAAAACACAAGTTAGAGACAACATCCATCAGACTAACGTTATAGTGTTGACACATTAGACAACATTCACTCCTCTTTGTTTAAAATCTCTAAGTTTTGGGTCATAGCAATATTTAAAATTTAAACTGTCTTCGAGAGTGCGAGAAGTGAACCAGAACGGGACGAGAACCAAGCTCACACTGCACACGGCGGACTGTGATGGTGGACTCGGTCTGGTCCCACACCTGCTCACAGTGAACCAGAGCTCACTTTGAAGCTGACCATAGACTACAGGAGTTCATAAGAGTTCCTGCTTCACCGCAAGGTCCTGGGTTCGATCCCACCGCCAGGCCTTTCTGTGTGGAGTTTGCATGTTCTCCCTGTGTCTGCTTTGGTTTCCTCCACTTAAAACATCCACAGAAGGTCTGGCATTTGGCGCCCGTGTTTAAATAACACGCTTTTGTATAACTACTTTAAAATCGTTAAACTTATATTTTGGAAGCCAATTTCTCCCCCCGTTTCCGCTGTGACGGCTGCATTGACAGACGGCCAATGTTGGGTAAAATGCTCGGAAAATGAATCCCATTCCAGAATACTGAATACATGACCTAAAATGTATTTGGTATAGTATTTTGTTACTAGTACCTGAAAAAGTAGTACACAGCTGTCCACATGTGGCACAGATCGAATCACTCAGATTGTGCAAAAGACAGAAGTGTTGTTAAAGGTAAAAAAAAATTACTTATTACTTACTAATTATGTACAATAAAAACGTGGCAATAGCAGTGCAAGTTTTTAGTCCTAGTGCATTAGTGAAAGTGACAGAAAGTAATTGTATCCTAAATACTAGACATTAAAGTAGTAACTGTGACTGAATTCTGTCACTAAGATAGAGTATTCTGAATATGTAACGGCGATACATGTATTTTATTACTCCCCAACACTGCAGACACTTTGAGCAGGTCCAGGGCAAACCTGCTGAAACTCTCTAATCACTCATCATTGAAACTTAAAGTTTGGGGCCGTGCATGGTGTGTCGTGTTTGACCTCAATTACTCAGGTCAAGTCTCTGTAATGGGATGGACCGACCCACTGACCCGACGAACTGATCCTTTCTTCACACAACTCAACAAATGGCGAGCGACACGACCCCGGTGTGTATCACTTTTCTTTTTGAACAGAATCAATCCTGAACATTTGGATTTGGACCTGTTTTTACCTCCAGACCTTGTTTATTCATAGACCTGCAGACATTGCAGTGACTGAGATTTTTTTTTTGTGTGCAATGATATTTCATCTACTAAACCAATTGAATACATTTGATACCTTTCATATTTAAGTGCATGTCGGTGGTCCTCATTTGCCAAGACCAAGACTCAAATTAGAACAATAGGAATTATAGATGCACCCTACATACAAAGCCTTATGATGTCTGTGTTTTTACTTCTTAAATTCAGGAAGAGCGTCAATGCAAATGCACCTGTGAGTGAGTTAATGGAGCAATATGTACAAATCTGGCCAAAAATGGTACTGCAACTACGATCAATATTATATAGTCCTCTCCCACTCTCCCTGACTCAGGTTGCCAGATATGCAGACGAATCCAGCTGGGACCATAACAGCTGAATAGACAAGAGTTTTGTCAACAACAAATCTATAACCAACACCTTTTTCACAAAAATAGAAATCTTGGTTTTATTCTTCGTTTTCTCAAAATCATTCCTTTTTTAGTTCTTCGGCCACATGTTAATTTACCAGTGAGATTAGCTCAACGCTGTGAGTTCTGGCGCCCGGATCACAGACTTTCTGATTGGTGAAACGGTGGAGGGAGGGACATCAAAATGAAAACAATAACAAGATTTATGGGCTGGAAAAGTAATTTAGAAATTCAAATATCTCTGAACTACTGTCAGTGAAAGATGACTTGACATGAGAATCTACCATATTGCTTCTTTAACCCTGACGTGGTGTTGTGTGTAACCCGCGTCCAACCAGCAGGAGGCAGTGGCGAGCAGACGTCTGTGACTGTAGCCAGGCTTCAGATGCACTCAGCGTCTTCTCTCTCATGAAAGCGCTCACTGAGGCTGAAGTCTCGGAGGAAACAGATGGGCTTTGTTCCAGTTTCAATAAACAGCAATCCAAACAACACCGCGCACTTATTTCTGTTGTCAAGAGCAATTTGAGGCACTTAGGCAATCAAATCTGACATTTACCTGCTGCACATCGCCATGGCAACTCCCCGCCGTCTCGCTGAACGCAGTCTCCGTCTGTGTAAAAAGTGACGATGGGTTCTTTTCTCTGCGTCTGGAACTGTTTCCTTGTGTCACTTTGATTCATTGGATCAGGAGGCTGCAGCCGTCTGTGCCTCAGCCTCAGCCAGGACTCTCCCGTCTGTGCCTATGGTCTCCCTCTAGTCTTTCTCTGGTCTCTCTCTGGTCTTCTCTAGTCTTTCTCTGGCCTCTCTGGTCTCTCTCTGGTCTCTCTCTGGTCTCTCTCTGGTCTCTCTTTGGCCTCCCTCTCTCTGGTCTCTCTCTGGTCTCTCTCTGGTCTCTCTCTGGTCTCTCTCTGGTCTCTCTCTGGTCTCTCTTTGGCCTCCCTCTCTCTGGTCTCTCTCTGGTGTCTCTCTGGTCTCTCTTTGGCCTCCCTCTCTCTGGTCTCTCTCTGGTCTCTCTCTGGTCTCTCTCTGGTCTCTCTCTGGTCTCTCTTTGGCCTCCCTCTCTCTGGTCTCTCTCTGGTGTCTCTCTGGTCTCTCTTTGGCCTCCCTCTCTCTGGTCACTCTGCTGTCTCTCTCAAGTCTCTCTCTGGTCCCTCTCTCTCTCTCTGGTGTCTCTCACAGGTCTCTCTCTGCTCTTTCTCTGGTCTGTCTCCCTGGTTCCTTTTCTGTAGCCCCTCTTTTTGGTCCTTATGGTCACTCCCTGGAATCTCTGTTGTCCCTCTCAAGTCTCTATCTGGTCTCTATCTGGTCTTTCTCTGTAGTCTCGCTCTGGTCATTCTCTTGTCTCTCTCTCAAGTCTCTCTGGTCATTTGCTGGTCTCTCTCTCTGGTTTCTCTCTCTGGTCATTCTCTGGTTTCTCTCTCTGGTCTCTCTCTGGTGATTCTCTGGTCTCTTTTTCTTGTCTTCCTACCACCAGGACAACAGCGCCATCTGCAGTCCGACTTCTTCAGAGTAGAATCCCAGGTGTGTGAGAGCAAAACAGCCCCCTGGTCCCGATTCATAGTCCTGGGGGAAAAATCAGTGGTATTTACACAAGCTTGAACAAATAACTTTAGAATCGTGAGAGAATATGACATTATGGACTGTGGTATAGAATGTATGTATTGATTTTATGGTTAGTGATTTCCTATGTGTGTGTGTGTGTGTGTGTGTGTGTGTGTGTGTGTGTGTGTGTGTGCGTGTGAGAGATGCTACCTGTGTGTGTGTGTGTGTGTGTGTATGTGATGCTGTATTTGTGTGTGTGTGAGGGTGTATGTATACGTGTGTATGTATGTATATGTGTGTGTATGTATGATGCTGCCTGTGTGTATGCATGTGTGTGATGCTGTTTGTGTGTGGGTGTGTTTTTAAAAGTAAAAACACAGTTAGCATCTGAGCTAAAGGCTTTTTGAGCAGTATTTAAGACCTACAAATCCAGAGATATCATCTTCTGAAGCGCTGACAGGTCACAGAGGGCCCCACGCATCTGCAGCACAGTGGAGGCGTCACAAGAGGCGTGTGATGTGTGATTCTGTATGTGTGAGGGTGTATGTATACGTGTGTATGTATGTGTGTGTGTGTGTGTGATGCTGTATGTGTGTGATGCTGTATGTGTGAGGGCGTATGTGTGTGTGTGTGTGTGTATTTGGGTTAATTATATGCTACCATACTGTATTTTACAATAGTTGTATTTTTATTGTGTCTTATTGTGTTGTTTTGTCATGTAACCTGAGACTCTGGACCCTTTCTGGTCTCTCACTGGGACCGGAGACCAGAGAGAGACCAGAGAGAGACCAGAGAGAGAGACCAGAGAGAGACCAGAGAGAGACCAGAGAGAGAGACCAGAGAGAGACCAGAGAGAGAGACCAGAGAGAGACCAGAGAGAGACCAGAGAGAGACCAGAGAGAGACCAGAGAGAGAGACCAGAGAGAGACCAGAGAGAGACCAGAGAGAGACCAGAGAGAGACCAGAGAGAGAGACCAGAGAGAGACCAGAGAGAGACCAGAGAGAGACCAGAAAGAGACCAGAGAGAGACCAGAGAGAGACCAGAGAGAGAGAGACCAGAGAGAGACCAGAGAGAGACCAGAGAGAGAGAGACCAGAGAGAGACCAGAGAGAGACCAGAGAGAGAGAGACCAGAGAGAGACCAGAGAGAGACCAGAGAGAGACCAGAGAGATAATGTGTTGTCTCCTTCCTCCACAAAGTGATGGAGCCAGAGCCAGAGTCGGGAGCAGCTGATTTTAGTACGATTTGTCTAATGATCATAATTACTGTGTTGACATCTTTATTTGTCTGTGTTTTGTTTCTCGTATTTATTCATGAAAATTAAAATCAAATCAATAATTCATAAAACTAATTTGCCATTCTTTTTTGGACTGCTGTAATATTCTCTGCGTGTCGCCTCGCTCTGTCGCACACTGGACCTGGGCTTTGGGAACACTCTGAGACTACACCCGAGCTGAGGCTGTGGAACTAGGTGCACTCTAGGCAAGTTTAGTTGTATAGCACAACCAGGATTTAACCTGGATTTGAACATTGTCAGAGAAGAAGTTTCTGACAGTGTTCAAACTGCTCCGGAAGACTACTCCTTTTTTTAGCTGCATAAATCTGAAACACTGCCTCCTCATGTTCAGTTCTGACCCAGGGCACTCAAACATGGGCTGTCCAAATACTGTAGTAACCACTGCAGAAGTCGGACTGCAGATGGCGCTGTTGTCCAGGGTGGGACGACCCGGATTGAGAAACTGACAAATGTATTTCTCTGCCCTACTCTACTCTACCCTACTCTACCCTACCCTACCCTACCCTACCCTACTCTACTCTACTCTACTATACTCTACTCTAACCTACTCTACCCTACCCTACCCTACTCTACCCTACTCTACCCTACCCTACCCTACCCTACCCTACTCTACTCTACTCTAACCTACTCTACCCTACCCTACCCTACTCTACTCTACTCTACTCTACTTTACACTACCCTACTCTACTCTACTCTACTCTACTCTACTCTACTCTACCCTAACCTACTCTACTCTACACTACCCTACTCTACTCTACTTTACCCTACTCTACTCTACACTGCCCTACTCTATCCTACCCTGCCCTACTCTACTTTACACTACCCTACCCTACCCTACTCTACTCTACTCTACACTACCCTACCCTACTCTACCCTACCCTACCGTACTCTACCCTAACCTACCCTACTCTACCCAACTCTACTCAACTCTACTCTACCCTACCCTACTGGGCGGCACGGTGGCTGAGTGGATAGCACTCTCGCCTCTCAGCAAGAAGGTCCTGGGTTTGAATCCCGGTTCGACCAGGGCCTTTCTGAGTGGAGTTTACATGTTCTCCACGTGTCTGCGTAGGTTTCCTCCGGGTGCTCCGGTTTCCCCTACCACTAAAAACATGTACAATAGGTCTGGCATGCGCCTCCTGTTCGGCGACCCCGCTCCCATCTCTGTGTGGAGTGAGAGGACAAGTGCCCAAAAAATAACAATTGTAAACCGCTTTGTGACTCTGGTCTGTGAAAGGCGGTATATAAATAAAGATTACTTACTACTTACTTACTCTACTCTACTCTACTCTACTCTACTCTACCCTACCCTACCCTACCCCACTCTCTCCTGATTGGGAGTGTTTCCTCTAGTCCTGTGTAACCAGTGCCAGGTCCCTCTTGGTCTTGGTTTGATCCAGGTCGAGCTGGTACTAAAGTTACCAAGGAATTTTTCTTGAATACTAGTCTGTTGTAAGTTGCATGACATGGTTACAGACAATAAAGTGTAATGGAAACACAACCAGGGAGAGTAGAATAGATCCATCTGTAAAACTTCGTCTATGGCGCTAAATCAGCCGATGAGATACCTACAGTATGTGTCTGTTATTCTATTTCCTGTGTTTGAACTGTTTGATTCTCTGATCTGCTGTTGGTGAATCCACAACTTTCCTCCAAAACCACTGCTGTTGTGATTCAGAGCGATATACATTAACATGAAGTAGCTTGTATTAGCATGAGTCAAGCTAAAAACAAACCTCCACGTCTGTTGTGGATAGAGAGAACAATGTAGTACCATGTTGAGGATTGTGTGTTGTGCTAGCTTACGCGGTGTTAGCCCTGACAGGTGCATGTGTACGTGACACGCCGTAGCCACGGTCCCTGCTGCTCGCCGCGGCGCTCTGCTCTTCTGTCTTTATTACTGTCATCTCTGTGACTAATGTGGCGGCTGCGTGTGTGAGCGACCATCTGTGCGCTTCCTACCGGCTCCGAGCTCACGCCGCTCCAACGCCGCTCCGACGCCGTGATGAGGCTGAGCGATGGCGCCTCCCGCTCCCTGACTGGTGTCACGGAAAATAGTGTCTGTGATTATTAGCACGAGCGTGATCATGATCATAATAATTATAAAGCATTTGTTTTATACAGTGCTTTTGTGGATTACTTAACACCAGGACTGTCAGAATTCTGAAACCACTAGAACTCCCAGAGCCTTCATTTTGACTGCTCTCATTCAAACCAATGGGAATTCAAGCTTGGCCTTCAGATAAACCAAAACATGTAGTGGAAAAGCACTGCCCTGTACGTATTGTTAGAATCATGAGTTTAACTTTCACCACAGTTCTCAATCTCCAAAGCACTCTTAAAAATACATTAAGAGTAAATAAACTGGTGAATATAACTTGTTTGTTGACAGGCTAAATGCTAACTGCTACAAGTAAACAGTGCGTTGCTATGGTAACTAGCACTTGCTGTTCAGTGCCTTAAAACAGGGCTTTAACTGCAAAATGACTGTTCAAAGAGTCAAAGGTAGAACTACAGTACTCATTATTTACATGTTGAACCAGAAAAGTATGGAAGACAGTGAAGTTCACAAAAGAAAATATATTTATCTTGTGCGTACAAGATAAATAAGTTTTTCTTTTGGTAACTTTAGGGCTCCGCATACATGAGCTGAGAAAATATACTTTCAAAACTAATAGACGTCCAATTGACTTATCTGGGAGTTCTAGTGTTAAAGACGCTTCATATGTCATTATTCATTCACTCCATACACGGTGGTGATACACTGCTACTGTAGCCACAGCTGCCCTGAGGCACACTGACAGAGATGAGGCAACCAGCCTGTGCCATCGGCCCCTTCCACCACCACCAACCATTCACACACACACCAGACTGATTCTAATGTGGGGGAAGTGTCTTGCCTAAGGACACAACCACAGTTTGGCACTTTACAGCCGCAGCCGCCCCACTGTGGCACCTGCTGTTCCCAGAGGTCTGCCGTTCAGCTGCAGGTGTCGTCGCCTGATGCTGTAGCGAGACGCTGTGAGTCGTTAACGTCACCTTCAGGAAGAGGTTCTGCTCGTTTGTGTTCGAGGTCCTGGAAACACACAATCAGAAAATTTTCCTTTGGCACAGAGATAATGACAGTGATGTTGGTAAAGTGCCATTCAGAGAGTGTGTCGTCTGCTCTGCTCCTGGGGTTCTCCAGCTGCACAAAGGCCGAGCAGCAGGCCATCCAAGGGGGTGAAAACTCCTGAGGAGGTCATTGGAGCATCTCCCACAGACCTCAGTGGTCACCTCCTGCTGCCTGCGCCGCTGTCACAACATCAGAGACCTCTCCCATCCAGCACTGCCACTGTTCCACCTGCTGAACTCAAGGGTACAGGTTTCTCCCCTAAACAGCTGAATGGCTAACAGCCTCTACCCCCAGGCTGTCAGACTGCTCAATGAACACTGCCCTGTGCACCATCCTGTACCTGTGATACTACCTCTTACAGCCCTGTCCTGTTTACATCCTGTACCTGTGATACAACCTCTTACAGCCCTGTGCTATTTACATCCTGTACCTGTGATACACGTGATATCAATTATATCAATATCAACAAATAAGTGGCTCAAAAAGGGGTTGGATGAAGCAAAAGTTAAACAATCCCAAACTTCAACACAAACCATACAACAACAAAAGCTCCTGCTGTTTAAATGCACAAAAGAAAGATTTATATTTTCTCCTTAAATGACTTAAACTGTCATTGTTTTTATGATACATAAACATAGATTTGTCATGCGCCTCAGAGGCCGCAGGGTAAGAACTTTAAAGTGCTATAAAAGCTCTGAGTCTGTAATGAAAAGGAGAACAAGGTCAGGCGCTGTAAGTTAGTAAGTATCCATCCATCCATCCATCCATTTTCTACCCTTTAATCCATTTCTGGGTCAGGGGGGTGGCACTCAGAGATGCCACCCAAGTCTCATAGCACCAGCCCCTCACTGACCCTCTGCAGGTGGTGAGTCCACAGGAGGACAGCTGCTCTCTGAGTGTGAGCATAGCCTTGATCTTTCAGTGGGGGCTTTGGGCAAAGTGGGGTTAAGTGTCTTGCCCAAGGACACAACGACAGCAGACATCAGTGGGAGTCGGTGGAGAAGGTGTAGAGGTGGGAATTGAACCCACGACCTTCAGGCCTGAAGGCCAATGCTCTACCAACTGAGCTACTGTCGCCCCTGTTAGTAAGTAATGTTTATTTATATAGCGCATTTTACAGACGGGTACAGACCCAAAGCACTTTACAAAGTTCAGAGTCAGATATTGTTCCAATCGCTCCACACACGGTGAGGACAGAAGCGAGCGTCTGCTGAACGTAATCAGAACTGGACATTTTTTCTTTTTCTAAGAAATGTCAAGAGCTCTCCTCAGACTGTGGCAGCGGACTGACCTGACGTGGCCCACAGAGTTAACTGCAGGAGCCCATTAGATCTACCCTGGTCTTACCACACCATTGTACAAAATTACATTTGGTACTAAGGTCTGGATGTGCTTCACTGACTCGTTAACAGGAGGGAGGGGCTAACTCCTTTTGCAGATTGAAACAATTAGATCTGAGTCCAATGTAGAATGTAGAACTGAGTCCAATGTAGAACAAGACGAAGTACGAAAAATTGTAAATGAATGTGAAAACAAAAGATCAACCGACTATGATGGTTTAGACATGATGATTGTTAAAATCATTTTTGAATCTGTAATTGAGCCTTTTACACACATTTGCAACTTGTCACTAAAAACAGGAACCTTTCCTGATGGTATGAAAACAGCCAAAATAATACCTCTTTACAAAAACGGGGACAAGCACCACTTTTCAAATTATAGACCAGTGTCCTTGCTGCCACAGTTTTCAAAAATCTCGGAAAAAGTATTTGCAATAAGGCTGGATAGTTTTTTACAAAAAGAAAATATATTAATTAAAAATCAATATGGCTTTAGAAAAAAACACTCAACTGCAATGGCAATAATGGAACTGACGGAGAAAATAGCAAGAGAAATAGATCAAAATAATTATATAGTAAGTATCTTTTTAGACCTGCAAAAGGCTTTTGATGTAATTAACCACCCCAGATTACTATGGAAACTCTAGAAGTATAGAATCAGAGGCATTGCTCAAAAATGGATCTCCAGTTATCTTGAAAATTGCAAACAGTTTGTCCAAATAAACAGTACGAATTCAGAACCATGCGATATCAGTTGGGGGGTGCCGCAAGGCTCAATACTAGGACCAATGTTGTTTATATTATACATGAATGATTTTCCAAAAGCATCAACTGTATTACAAAGCATCTTATTCGCTGATAACACTACATTATTTTACACTGGAAATAATATAGGAGAGTTAGAAATAGTAATAAACAAAGAACTTGCAAAAATAAAAAGCTGGTTAGATCAAAATAAATTGGCGCTAAACATTAAAAAAACCAATTACATGATATTCAATGATAAAAAGAAAAATCTTGGAAATAGTATATCCATAACAATAGACGGCCTGGAAATCCAAAGGGTAAAGGAAACAAAATTTTTGGGAGTCATCATTGACGAGGACCTAAACTGGAAATCTCACATACACTTTACAAAAGGAAAATTAGCCAAATCAATTGGTGTGTTACATAAAGTGAAATACTTTCTTACCCACACAGCATTAATTGCCTTATATAATACAATGATTATACCATATCTAACCTATTGTGTCGAAATTTGGGGGACAACTTTTAAAACATATACACAGCCAATATTTATTTTACAAAAAAGAGCCCTAAAAATAGTGAACAACAAAAGATATCGAGACTCATCAAATCCTGTTTTTTTAGAGTGTAAGGTGTTAAAATTTTATGATATAGTGGATTATAATATTTTTCAGATATTGTATAAAGCAAATTGCAATTACCCGCAAACATTCAAGAGAACTTTGAAAAAAGACAAAGTCAGTACAATCTGAAAGGAACTGATATCTTTAAAAAACCTAGATTCAGAACAAAAGTCATGGAAAGAACAGTCTCAGTGAAAGGAATCAACTTGTGGAACGCACTTAACAAAGACATTAAAGAGTCAAAAAACATAATAGTTTTTAAGAAACAAATCAAAACTACTATATTCAGGAAATATGAGAGTGTTACATGAGAATAAAATCTGGATTTAAATTGATGGTTTGTTTTTCAAGAAATGGAAAGTAAGGTGTGATACATAAAGTGTAAGGTAAAGTATTAAGGTATGTATTATGTAATATATGTGTAAATAATTTAATTTGTTTAAACTGTAAAAGGGATGTGTAAAAATCATTTGGAGCAGTTAAATCTTTCAGATGCAATGGACAACTCTTAACCATGAATAGCACATGACCAAGATCTATAGTGCAGGAAAACAAGTTGTCATGTTGTGATTGCTATTACTGCTTAAACAGATACAAGTAAATCAGAGCAGACGAGATATGGTTGGATTGGCGGCCTCCCTCTTGCCAAGCGGCCTCAACACCTCGTTTTTAACGCACCACACAGCAAGCATATACAACGCAAATTTTCCTACATTTCCATTGGTCAGGGATGTTGGGAGTGGGGCGGGTTGAGTGGGGGCTATTACCTTCTCTCGACTGGCTCATTCTACCCACTGTTTTTAATGCACTGCACTATGTAGGGTCTACATACATAACCATGTTAACATTAAATAAACAGCTTTGGGTAAAAATGGCAACAAGTGACAAGTGACAACAAGACCTAAGAACATCATTGGTGCGAAATCAGCATTAAAAATTACTATTCATGGAGACGAGTGTAAATTGTATATCTGAGAGAAATATGCCTGTATATCATTTGAACTCCTGTAAAGAGAAAAGTTTGTAACAAGGGGTAGGAAGCATAAGTTTCACTTCTACCTACTCCTTTTCGAATTGTGCTTATATATGTTTATATGTTTCTTCTTTTTGTTTTGTTTTGTATTGCGCATGTAATTCGAAATAAACACTACTACTAGTTTACTGTGACGTATGTAATGAGCCCGAGTGAGTGAGGTATTTAGCATTTAGCATTTAGCCTAGCTTTAGAATCAGAATCCTTTTTATTGCCATGTTAGTAACAGGAAGTCACACACTTTGGCTCTCAGTGCAAACAAGTTAAATCAGAATAAAAACAAGAAGTACAATACACACATCTGTAAATACTCCTGAACCAAGCGCAATTAAACCTCCAGAGTTTATTTTATTTTATTCTGTATCTTATTTTAATTATATTGTCTGTTATCTTAAATAATAGACTATTTAATGTGTGTGTCTGAGTCTCATTTCCTTCTTTCTCTGCTGTAATGTGCAACGATGACACTGAAATTGCTCCACAGTGAGACGAATAAAGGAATATCTTATCTTAATGCGGCTGTGTCCTTAGGCAAGACACTTCACCCACATCAGAACGGTGCATGTGTGAATGGGTGGTGGTGGTGGGAGGGGCCGATGGCACATGGAGTGAATGAATAACAACATGTGAAGCGTCTTTAAGAGTCCAAAAGAGATTCATTCTTCATCTTTAGCCGTATACTTTCTACCCTAATGATTTCAGATTCTGACAACGTGAAATCCCGACGCAAATATTCTCAAGATCACGATTATGGGCTGAAATAAAGACAACCACTGCTGAATATGTTGTTGACCGGTGCTTTATGGCAGCCCTGGTCCAGCCTCACAAAACATGCTGCTGCCGCTGCTACAGAACATTTTGACGACCTTGTTCCAAACAGAATACATCATGCAGTACCATTACTCCGCTGCCACCGTTTTTCCATTTGTCATATTTCCTGGAGGGGGACATTAGTATCCAGGGCCGCCCGCTCCCAAACACAGCCATGTGACCCCCACCTCGGAGATTTGAAAGCCAAAGGTTTGTTTTTGCCTTTTCTCCCGGTGTGGCAGCGGGAGGTGGAGCAATTCATCTTCAGCTCCGCCGAGACGTCACGGCAGGAGGCAGCTCAATCGATCAGAGACCCCCCCCTGGTCCATGCCAGTGTGAGAGGACCACTGACCTCAGACCTGCTCTCATCTCTACTGTCCCTGAGTCTGGGCCTGAGTCTGGGCCTGAGTCTGAGCCTGAGTCTGGGCCTGAGTCTGAGTTAGAGTCTGGGCCTGAGTCTGTCCCTGAGTCTGGGCCTGAGTCTGTCCCTCAGTCTGGGCCTGAGTCTGGGCCTGAGTCTGGGCCTGAGTCTGTCCCTCAGTCTGGGCCTGAGTCTGGGCCTGAGTCTGGGCCTGAGTCTGGGCCTGAGTCTGGGCCTGAGTCCGGGCCTGAGTCTGGGCCTGAGTCCGGGCCTGAGTCTGAGCATACAGCTCACATTTCTGGACAGTGGTCCTCCCTAGTAGATATATATGACGGCGGTAGAGAGCAAGTGGTGAAAAGGTGGTACTGCACCCTAAAATCCCCAGAAAGGGGACGGCGCTCTTGAGCAAGTGGTGAAAGGTGTTACTGCACATTGTTTTTCAAAGAGTTTCAATGAGTTAGCTTCTGTTGGCCTGTGTGTGTGTGATAATGTTTCACAGTTGTCTAAAGTGATTTATGATCACGGTGTATTCTAAAACAGTTAAGCTGCTGGGGAGGACCTGTTAACGGCACTTAGGTGTATGTGTCTGATAGTGATGAGCGGTTGGGAGGGCGTACTAGCAACAAATATACGGTAGCAGGAAACGGTATTGGGAGGAGTACTAACAACAAATCAGAATGTGGGAGGTCTGTTTACACCGTCCTATCAGAAGTTTTTCATGGTTTCAAACGCATTACCGTTGTCTAAGAGAAGGTTATACAATATGCCTAATACAGGTAAGTTATTAATATAACATTTGCAGTATTCATATTAAATGTGTTAAGTTAGTTTATCTCTAGGAAGGGTCTTTATTGACATCATTATAACACCGATGAAGCGTAACCCACAGCAAAAGTTACGAGAGGTCTACAGCCAACGATGAAAATAGGGTAAAGCTCATTTTTTTTCCTTAATGGTCTTAATCAGATGTTTAATACTTTTATTTCATTTTATACAGCACAGGTAAATTTAAACAAACCAAGTCAATGCCCCTGAGGCATAAATGAAAGACAAGTAAATCAACATAAAGCACCGTAAGTCGTACATATACAAACCTTTATATAACATGTTTTATGAAGGTATATATTTTTTTTCTAGAGCAAGTTCTATCACGCCGCAACGGACACAAATTATTCTATCACGGGGATGATGATAGATGATGATGATAGATTAAAGGTGAGTTACAATATTATAATTTTTATAATGAAAGAGGTAATATTTTCTCCTCACTATTTTTAGCTCTTCAGAGTGGTGGCGAAAGACACAGAGAATCAGTCCTCAGTAACCAGGATTTCAACATAATCGATTTTGATAGCGACACTCGACATTGATGCCACTATACGCGAGAAAGGTATACCAAACAACGATCAAGATGAATTAAACGAGGATCACCATTCCCGACCGTGAGGAATACTTTGAACCAATATCTGGACACACAGGCAGCAGCTCGCTGATTGCAGTACAAAAGGGCCTATAAAGAATGCTTAACACCAAAGGGAATACTTTTACAAGAAAACACACATCTAGTTAAATCACCAATAGTGAAAAAACGTTTGTTGAAAACAGAGCTCTCCCAACATACGCAGGAATTGAAGTCAAGCAGGCACGTTGTGTTAGTGCAGAGGATACATACAGACAGTGTCTAGCAACTGTGAGCCAACAAGTAAAATACACGAGGCCCGTATACTTACCGAAATACATAGTTAAAGAGACCAGTTCACCATCTTCAAACTGAGCACGTAAAAGTTACTAACAAGTGTAGGTGTTGCATAAATCAGCGTACAAACGCTACATACCCAGAGCTAAACTAAACGGGCGAGAGGCCAACGAGCCCAACTACAACACGCGCGCTCAACGAGAGGGTCCTACAATTGCAAACACAATACACGAAAAACCTCGATACACAACAGGGAATTAGAAACTAAAAACCTAACGCGGGAAATACAAATTCAAAATTTGACTACTGAAATCAAGCAGCTTAAAAACAAGGGAAACGTAATAGCTGATAGAATTTGCACAATTTGGATAACCAAGCTAGCACGTCTATACGGCTGTTATGAGAGCAAATCAATGAAAACACTTCTCATTTGAAAGCCTTCGAAAATGCCAACCGATCGTGAAGCCCACTAAAAGGCTAACGCTACAGCACCCTCTCAACTCCTAAACATTAAGAATTAATTATGCCAGCGCTCTAACACTTATGCATCTGTGGAACGTTTAATTCGTACTAATTATCAACAACGCGTAACACGATCCGTGTATTGATCGACTAATTCCACAAACATCAAAGTGCCATCCCATGCTGGCATACGGTTTATAGCACCGACCTATTCCATAGCTGAAAGCTCGCTAGCTACAAATACCTCAAATGCGGATAATGTTAACCAGCCAATAAGTATAGAGACTATCCTACCCACAATAAAACACCCTACAAACAACTGTGTAGGTATTAATAGTCAAACTATAGAAATGGATACACAAGAATGACGAGTCACCTAGACTCTAGCTCTTGTTTAAGTCGACACAACAGATGTTACAACTGGTTTCAGAAATGTATAGTTCACACAGAGTCAGACCCCATGGAGGTATGCTAATGAGGGTAACGAGACCATACAAGGGGGTGGGGGTGGTACAGATTACGAACAAAGAGGAGGTCCCCAGCTAACGTACAAACAGGTGGGGAGGTACATGTTAACGAAAATAACAGAGTTTAATACCACAGTAATGTCTGAGCACATTGATTTTCGAGGTAATAACCCTACAGATACAGTAAAGGCTTGTAAAAGAGTAAATGAAAAATTAACGAGGTGTAATAACACTGGCTTTAAACAATGGCAGAACAGGATTGTGTGAAGAATGTTGCATTACGAGGGCCCTCGCTTAGTGACGAATTCAAGTTAGTTTGAACTCTGACAATGACTACAACATTGATCATTTTTTAGAGGAATGGAAAAGTGTTACAAAGTAACGACAAGTCCATTATAGATGATGAAATGACATAATAGTGAGTAATAGCCATTCACATAAGTGGTGTGGTGTCAGCGTCTCAAACTGTGCTGTAGCATACATGCCCAATATTGCTAAAGAAGGTAAATTTACTTTATAACCCTCACAATACCGAAAAGCCTTGTGTTTTCGCCATGTGTATAGCTCCATCATTTCATGTAACTATACCCCCTAGTAAATTACTCGATAAAGCCAAAGAGGTGGCAAACCGAAGTTGGTCTGGATCCACAAACAACGTGACATGAATGATGTGTCAAAGTTTGAAATCTGTTGAACATAAAAATTGTTGTTTTTTCACACAATCCACCGGGACTAAACGTCTCAATCATTTGGAAACACAGGATTGAATGCAAGAACCCCTTATACATTTATGAGAATCATTTCGAGCAAATCAAAAATAAAACGGGTTTCGTTGGGTGTCCATAAGGGTGCAAATACTGTCTCAAGCCATACGGTACTAGTTGGCAGCATCTCCCTGTAAATACTTTGTAACATTCTGTTACACCAATGTGAAACCTAGGGAAAAACAAAACAATTAAATGGGTCCTGTATGTAAACGCATCTGTAAATCTTCCCACTGCTTTAATCAGCATAAACTCCCTGACCCCGGCCACGATAGAATACCTGCTTTTCGTGGACATAGTGTGAAGAAGTAAACAATCGGTATCACATACACAGCGAAAAAACACGTGTGTAATTTCCAATATGCACCACTGTGATGCGGAGCTCCCTGAAGTGGTGAAAAGCAACATAGCAAGTTACATCAAACCTTTAAAAGTGGTTCAAGAGACAACCAAATACATTTTTTATGATTTTGCGACAAGGTATGATGGTAACAAGCATGGTCCCCGTGTATAGTCTGTACGCTTGACCATGACGTGATTAATATAACTTCTCACACGATGGTTGTGTTAAACGAATGTTTAAATATTTTAGAACACCAAAGTTTCGTGATTACACATTCATAGCACACAATGCCGCGGCTTTTGACAACAAGTTAATTCGAGAAGAGTTTTGTGAGACAGGGGCTAACCCCTATCTCACTGTGAGAGCACACGTGTGCTCTGCATGAATGACAAGCGACTTAGTCAAAGATGGCTGGACTCGATCAGCTTTTCTCCTATGCTTTAGCACGTATGCCTGCTCCCTCTCCCTATGGCCTCCTTTTCTCTCTGTGGGTCTCTCTCTATCTTCTCTTTCTCTGGTCTCTCTCTATCTTTGCTCTCTCTTTCTGGTGTCTCTCTGGTCTTTCTCTCTGGTCTCTCTCTCTGGTCTTTCTTTCTGATCACTCTCTCTCTAAGGCAGGGGTGCTCAATACGTCGATCGCGATCTACCGGTCGATCGCAAAGGTAGTATTGGTAGATCGCATTAAATAAATGAAAAAATTACACATTCTAAACAAATATATACAAAAAACTCCGGGCAAAGTGGAGATTTTTGAAAACTCCGTTAATGCATTTGTGTGTAGACAAAGATAACCGGAGTTTTGCGTTCTCGCACGCCACAGTACCCCCCTAAATTCCTCTGATCACTGAAGCATGGATCATACTACCTTAAAAACTGTTCGCTGTGAGATGCTCGCAGCAGCGAACATCCTCGCTCCACATCAGAGAGCAGCAAAGTGATCGGACTCACACTCGAAAACAACCAAACCAGGACTAAACCAGGACTAAACCAGGACTAAACCAGGACTAAACCAGGACTAAACCAGGACTGAGGACGGGGTCAGTGCTTGTAAACATACGTCTTACTCTGAGTGTCTTCTATGACTGTAAAAGTGCCGTTACCGGCGTCTGCATCAAAGCTCCGCCCACTTCTGTGTTTTTCCCCAACGCAGGACAGGACGTAAGAGACGCACATGTTTGGAATGTTACGAATGTGATTGATAACGCAGATGTGTGGATGCAAATTATTTTATAAATTGAGGATGGGACATATTTAGATTTAAAAAAACAGGCATGGCACATGGACATGGCGCCACAGTCAAATGACATCTGTGTTTTACTCAGTAATGTTTTACTGACACTTAGGGGACTGCACATGCGCAAACAACCGCGCTCAGTGCAGGAAAGCTAAACCACGACAAACTTGTCAGCGAGTTACCACCAATTTTCCGGACTATGCATCCCTGGCCGATTCAATTCAGTGCAAGTCATCAGAGTAAACTCGGGTAATGACAAAAAATGTACATAGGTAATTGTGTTGTGTTGTGCTATATTGGCTCATGCGGTTTTGCATGTACATAAACATAGGTATAAAGAATATTTTTTGAAATAAAGATATGATTTGTATTTTTGTAGTAGGTAGATCATTTTGACTTGATCCTTTTATAAGTAGCTCGCATGCTGAAAAAGTGTGAGCACCCCTGCTCTAAGGTCTCTCTCTCTATGGTGTCTCTCTCTCTTCATTCCCTCTCTTTCTCCAGTGTCTCTCTTTTTGGTGCCTCTCTCTCTGGTCTCTCTCTATGGTCTCTCTCTGGTCTCTCTCTCTCTCTCTGGTCTTTCTCTCTGGTGTCTCTCTCTCTTCTCTCCCTCTCTTTCGCTAGTGTCTCACTTTTTGGTGCCTCTCTCTGGTCTCTCTCTCTTCTCTCTTTGGTCTCTCTCTCTCTCTCTGGTGCCTCTCTCTTTTCTCTCTCTCTGGTCTCTCTCTCTCTTTTCTCTCTTTATCTGGTTTCTCTCTGTGGTTATTACTGTTGTGAATCCACATCTCAGTGAACTTCTCTGAGACACTGTTGTCATTCAGGAAAATACACAAATAAATGAAACTGAACTGAATGTTTCTCAAACCAGAGACTGTGTGTGTCTGTGTGTGTGCGTGTGCGTGCGTTTGTGCGTGTGTGTGTGTTTTATGTGTATAGTGCATGTGTACATACAGTGTGTGGGGGTGTTTTATGTGTGTGTGTGTGTGCGTGTGTATAGTGTGTGTTTTGTGTGTATATAGTGTGTTGTGTGTGTGTAAATAAAGTGTGTGGGGGTGTTTTATGTGTGTGGATTTTTTTGTGCTTGTGTATAAAAGTGTATAGTGTGTGTGTGTACATATTGTGTGTGGAGGTGTTATATGTGTGAATAGTGTGTGTTTTGTGTGTGTGTGTGTACGTGTGTGTGTATGTAGTGTGTTTTATGTGTGTTTGCATGTACATACATTGTGGGGACTGTTTTATGTGTGTGTGGTATGTGTGTATAGTGTGTGTGTGTGTGTGTGTACAGTGTGTGCGTGTGTGTGTGTGTGTACAGTGTGTGTGTAAGTGTGTATAGTGTGTGTTTGTGTATAGTGTGTGTAAAGTGTGCGTATAGTGTGTGTGTGTGTATAGTGTGTGTAAAGTGTGCGTATAGTGTGTGTGTATTCCTTCACAGCCTCACAAAGCTGATGTTTTATGTATCACACAAATCCAGGAACCTTTTAGGGGAAAATTACCTGCAAATGCCAGACCGCGGCGTGCATACCGGGCCGAGCGGATGTGGGACTGACTTTTAAAAATGTCATTGAAAGTTTATGGAGAGCAGTGAGTAAGAGACGAGAGCAGAGATCTCTGTGTGCGATCTGCAAATCTGAGAAGTGTGTCACTGGGTCCAGCTTGTGTGTCACTGACCCCTGTGTGTTTTTGTTATTATTATTATCATTTGACCAGACAATAATCATATATATACATATAATCTATTTCATGCTTATACATTTTTTATCATTTTCACAAAAGTCCAAACCATTAGAACACAGTGCAATAATAACAAACATAGAGGAGCCAATGGTCCAGAGGAAGACACTCATGAACCCAGGACTGAGGCTGTAGACCCAGGACTGAGGCTGTAGACCCAGGACTGAGGCTGTAGACCCAGGACTGAGGCTGTAGATCCAGGACTGAGGCTGTAGATCCAGGACCGAGACTGTAGATCCAGGACTGAGGCTGTAGATCCAGGACTGAGGCTGTAGACCCAGGACTGAGGCTGTAGATCCAGGACTGAGACTGTAGATCCAGGACTGAGGCTGTAGACCCAGGACTGAGGCTGTAGATCCAGGACTGAGGCTGTAGATTCAGGACTGAGGCTGTAGATCCAGGACTGAGGCTGTAGACCCAGGACTGAGGCTGTAGACCCAGGACTGAGGCTGTAGATCCAGGACTGAGGCTGTAGATCCAGGACTGAGGCTGTAGACCCAGGACTGAGACTGTTGATCTGAACTGGTGATTCTGAACCGCGAACCGGGTCCCTACACTTCTCTTCTTCCACTCGTAAAATGAAATCAACTCTAAACCCCCACTGCAGAGTAAAGCACCAACACACGCTAAATCCATGGATCATTTCACTTTGTATTATGTGATTTGTCATCATGTGTTTCAGTTGAAAACAGTTTTAAAATGTCAGCTATTTTTATGTATGTCCTTCAAGGTCCCAGTAGCCTCAAATGTAGGAGATTTAGGCCCCGTCCCAATTCTCACCCTTGCCCTTAGGTGTGACTGCCCTCACCAGCAAAGCGCCTTCCCAGTGGGGAGTGCACTCACAATATTCTCCCTAAGAATTGGGACACATGGATCTATAATAATAACATGGATCTATGATAATAACATGGATCTATGATAATAACATGGATCTATGATAATAACATGGATCTATAATAATAACATGGATCTATGATAATAACATGGATCTATGATAATAACATGGATCTATGATAATAACATGGATCTATGATAATAACATGGATCTATGATAATAACATGGATCTATAATAATAACATGGATCTATAATAATAAGATGGATCTATAATAATAACATGGATCTATGATAATAACATGGATCTATGATAATAACATGGATCTATGATAATAACATGGATCTATAATAATAACATGGATCTATAATAATAACATGGATCTATGATAATAACATGGATCTATGATAATAACATGGATCTATGATAATAACATGGATCTATGATAATAACATGGATCTATGATAATAACATGGATCTATGATAATAACATGGATCTATAATAATAACATGGATCTATGATAATAACATGGATCTATGATAATAACATGGATCTATGATAATAACATGGATCTATGATAATAACATGGATCTATGATAATAACATGGATCTATGATAATAACATGGATCTATGATAATAACATGGATCTATGATAATAACATGGATCTATGATAATAACATGGATCTATGATAATAACATGGATCTATGATAATAACATGGATCTATGATAATAACATGGATCTATGATAATAACATGGATCTATAATAATAACATGGATCTATGATAATAACATGGATCTATGATAATAACATGGATCTATGAATAATAACATGGATCTATGATAATAACATGGATCTATGATAATAACATGGATCTATGATAATAACATGGATCTATAATAATAACATGGATCTATGATAATAACATGGATCTATGATAATAACATGGATCTATGATAATAACATGGATCTATGATAATAACATGGATCTATGATAATAACATGGATCTATGATAATAACATGGATCTATGATAATAACATGGATCTATGATAATAACATGGATCTATAATAATAACATGGATCTATAATAATAACATGGATCTATGATAATAACATGGATCTATAATAATAACATGGATCTATGATAATAACATGGATCTATGATAATAACATGGATCTGTGATAATAACATGGATCTATAATAATAACATGGATCTATGATAATAACATGGATCTATGATAATAACATGGATCTATGATAATAACATGGATCTATGATAATAACATGGATCTATAATAATAACATGGATCTATAATAATAACATGGATCTATAATAATAACATGGATCTATAATAATAACATGGATCTATAATAATAACATGGATCTATAATAATAACATGGATCTATGATAATAACATGGATCTATGATAATAACATGGATCTATGATAATAACATGGATCTATAATAATAACATGGATCTATAATAATAACATGGATCTATGATAATAACATGGATCTATGATAATAACATGGATCTATGATAATAACATGGATCTATGATAATAACATGGATCTATGATAATAACATGGATCTATAATAGATCTATGATAATAAACATGGATCTATAATAATAACATGGATCTATGATAATAACATGGATCTATGATAATAACATGGATCTATGATAATAACATGGATCTATAATAATAACATGGATCTATGATAATAACATGGATCTATGATAATAACATGGATCTATGATAATAACATGGATCTATGATAATAACATGGATCTATAATAATAACATGGATCTATAATAATAACATGGATCTATAATAATAACATGGATCTATGATAATAACATGGATCTATGATAATAACATGGATCTATGATAATAACATGGATCTATAATAATAACATGGATCTATGATAATAACATGGATCTATGATAATAACATGGATCTATGATAATAACATGGATCTATGATAATAACATGGATCTATGATAATAACATGGATCTATAATAATAACATGGATCTATAATAATAAGATGGATCTATAATAATAACATGGATCTATGATAATAACATGGATCTATGATAATAACATGGATCTATGATAATAACATGGATCTATAATAATAACATGGATCTATAATAATAACATGGATCTATAATAATAACATGGATCTATGATAATAACATGGATCTATGATAATAACATGGATCTATGATAATAACATGGATCTATGATAATAACATGGATCTATGATAATAACATGGATCTATGATAATAACATGGATCTATAATAATAACATGGATCTATAATAATAACATGGATCTATGATAATAACATGGATCTATGATAATAACATGGATCTATGATAATAACATGGATCTATGATAATAACATGGATCTATGATAATAACATGGATCTATAATAATAACATGGATCTATGATAATAACATGGATCTATGATAATAACATGGATCTATGATAATAACATGGATCTATGATAATAACATGGATCTATGATAATAACATGGATCTATAATAATAACATGGATCTATGATAATAAAATGGATCTATGATAATAACATGGATCTATAATAATAACATGGATCTATGATAATAACATGGATCTATGATAATAACATGGATCTATGATAATAACATGGATCTATAATAATAACATGGATCTATGATAATAACATGGATCTATGATAATAACATGGATCTATGATAATAACATGGATCTATGATAATAACATGGATCTATGATAATAACATGGATCTATGATAATAACATGGATCTATGATAATAACATGGATCTATAATAATAACATGGATCTATAATAATAACATGGATCTATGATAATAACATGGATCTATAATAATAACATGGATCTATGATAATAACATGGATCTATGATAATAACATGGATCTGTGATAATAACATGGATCTATAATAATAACATGGATCTATGATAATAACATGGATCTATGATAATAACATGGATCTATGATAATAACATGGATCTATGATAATAACATGGATCTATGATAATAACATGGATCTATAATAATAACATGGATCTATAATAATAACATGGATCTATAATAATAACATGGATCTATAATAATAACATGGATCTATAATAATAACATGGATCTATGATAATAACATGGATCTATGATAATAACGTGGATCTATGATAATAACATGGATCTATAATAATAACATGGATCTATAATAATAACATGGATCTATGATAATAACATGGATCTATGATAATAACATGGATCTATGATAATAACATGGATCTATGATAATAACATGGATCTATAATAGATCTATGATAATAACATGGATCTATAATAATAACATGGATCTATGATAATAACATGGATCTATGATAATAACATGGATCTATGATAATAACATGGATCTATAATAATAACATGGATCTATGATAATAACATGGATCTATGATAATAACATGGATCTATGATAATAACATGGATCTATGATAATAACATGGATCTATAATAATAACATGGATCTATAATAATAACATGGATCTATAATAATAACATGGATCTATGATAATAACATGGATCTATGATAATAACATGGATCTATGATAATAACATGGATCTATAATAATAACATGGATCTATGATAATAACATGGATCTATGATAATAACATGGATCTATGATAATAACATGGATCTATGATAATAACATGGATCTATGATAATAACATGGATCTATAATAATAACATGGATCTATAATAATAACATGGATCTATAATAATAACATGGATCTATGATAATAACATGGATCTATGATAATAACATGGATCTATAATAATAACATGGATCTATGATAATAACATGGATCTATGATAATAACATGGATCTATGATAATAACA